CACACCTTTTACACGCATATTTTAAAGAATATCGTCGACGCCCAGTAAAAACACTCTGGGCTTATAATCGTGAATGCCCTCAACTCGATAAATACCAAGTAAAAACATAGGGATGGGCTTCATACTCGGGAGGGGCTTACGAACGGGGAAGTACGGTACTTTAACGCAATTGGGCTTTCACTCTCAGAATACTGTGGTTCAAACGCATATTGCTCTAACCCAAGTTTTAAAAGCACATTGTGCATATAAAAGTTGAGTTTATACTAATAGTACACAATGCTTGGCAGCATGAACGGCTATGTACAATGGCGTATACGAATGCGATCAGATACTAAAACGTCATAGCTTTGAAAAGTACCCGGATTATAAATATGTTCGTTCGTTAATTATTCCCCTCCATGAATGGCCTCCATGGCAAGCACTTCAAATGCCTATCCAAGCTACAGTTATAATTAAAACAAAATTAAACCACTGCAATATTATTTCGAATACAGTTTAGAATATACACAACTATAAATTAAGGTCGCATTTAGGTTCGCTTTAATATAAAATATAAAGACCATCTGCTTACATGTATAGCGGCTACTTTAGGCAGTCCCAAGGCATAATGTACATGAATGAGCAAACTGTTTATAATAGATTACAAAAAATCCTATATTCAGGATTCGGCTCTGAAAATAATTGACTATAGTCTTGTTCACAGGTGTCAAATGTTTGAGCGTTTTGTAAATAATCTTTATCAGTGGGCTAAACCTGCCTTCTGTTCATACATTGGAGCAGAAGTTTATATTTAACTTGCCGTTCACAACTACCATTCATGTGCTTTGCAGTTACTTTTACGTTTAATGACAAACCAAAACAATGTGTCTTTGTTATATATATTTTTTTTTATCATTTACATGTATGTAAATGAGTCTCTATGTGGTAGTTGAGCGTGGTGACCGAGCGTCTCAGTTTTCATGAAGATATGAGTTGAGCGTATCCATAACCACTCTTTGGTTACATGGATTTGTAATTTGAGATAGAAATGGACCTAACTGTCGTAAATGCCACTGCAGACAACATGGTTGTCTTGTGGTCAATCTTGTTGCCTTGTAACATTCTGTATTATCAAAGTCAAAATGCTCTGGTCTCTCCAAATGGAAATGAATAATTCCACCTTTTTTGTGTTGTAATTCCATGATCATGAAGTCATTGTTGACACTAGTCTATACAAGAGTCTGACTAAACCACTCATTTGATAAAGAACACAATTCTACATTTCCACACTACCTGAATACACAAATAACTGAGTTGTCTCTTATCACAGGACATGGTGGATTCTCCTCAAAAGTCTAAGAAACAAAGAATGGAAGATGAAGGTCGAAAAACGATTATTGTTGGAATTTGTGCCATGTCTAAAAAATCAATGTCCAAGCCAATGAAGGAAATATTACTTCGTCTTGAACGCTTTGAGTACATTGTAACTAATATTTTCAGTGAAGATGTTATACTGAACAAAGCAGTGGAAGACTGGCCTTTGTGTGACTGCTTAGTATCATTTTTCTCACAGGGATTTCCTTTACAAAAAGCTGTACAATATGCTGAACTCAGGAAACCTTTTGTTATAAATGATCTTCATAAGCAGTTTGATTTATTAGATAGGTAAGAATTGTTTGTTTTATTAGTTTTTGTTTGTCTTAAACAGATATACTGATATGTTGCAAATTGGCTAGGAAAATGTCAACAGTCTCTTGTGAAACAAATGCGAAAATCCTTTTTTTCACTTGTAACAGGTGTCATACTCAATCAAGCATTGTTGTGCAATTTTCTATTTTGAATTTATTTCTTTTTGGAAGATTCCTTGATTTGTATTATAATTGTTATCAGGGGTAGTTGTCGAAGGCGTCATAGACTTGTTTGCAAGTCTTATTCAAAAATTAAAGAAAATGAATCCCTGGAAATACATGTACCGGTAGCTAAAAGGAGGAATACATGTAATGCAATGATTGTGAAAAATCAAACGCTTTGTATTCCTTGCATGTACCCTCAGTGTCACAGGTTAGGGTCTGGATGTCCGATGTTGATGTAACTGCAAGTATCATAAACTAATATCTTTGCATAATATGCAGATGTCATTTGACAGAAAGAAACCTAATGTCCTTTTTGTTAATTATATTTTCTATTCACACTTTGTGTGCTGTCCTGGGATGACTGTTGTTGAGTTTGGATTAGAAAGATGAGACTATTTAGGACTAACAGCAACTGCTTTCTTGCCAGGTTTGCTAGACCCACAAAAAAGGTGGGGTGTTGACTTAAAGAATGTTAACAGTAACTAAAACTTCCCAAGGGATGCAGTTTGTTTGTTTTGTCATCCACATTTTTTGTAAACACTGTGCTATTTTATATTTCATATTCAGCAATATTCTGATATACTGAAAAGGGGTTAATTATTCACTGAGTTTTAATTTTGCTTATTTCGCTGAATGGAAAATGTGCTAAATTAAAACCCAGTGAATATGTAAAATTTAGCATGGAACACATTATCTAAATGATAAAACCGTGAATTTAAAACCCACTGAATATGCCTGAAAGTCATTTTACAGTATCTGGAAATGCACACTGGAACTATTTTGACTACAAGTAGTTGAACTTAGCTGCAGATGACAGTAATGAGTACGGTATACATAAAGGACTGTTCAAAAATCCAGATATTACACTAAACCAACTAGAAATGATTGCGTGATTGCATGTACAGTAACTTGCTTTTTGTTACATGTAGGAGGTATGTGTATAGGGTGCTCAAAGAAGAAGGAATTGGGTTACCTACATATGCTGTTTTGGATAGAGATTCAAACAATCCTAATGGTAAGTACATGCTGCTCCCATTTAACAGTAGAAATATTCACTAGTTATAATATTAGTGTTTACTGTAGGGATATTTACTAGGTTTTAAATTCACTGAGTTTTAATTTAGCAAATTTAACTGATCAGCAAAATAATGAAAATAAAACTCATGAATAATTAATAAGCCCTGAATTGTATCTTGCATTTGTACTATTATGATATTAAATTTTGTATTATTCATTTCATATCAATGATTGCATAAGCAGGGATCCACCCACACCAGCATTCCTGCACTAATAATAACAGACCCCGGGAACCCACCAGAACACATAGCTTCAAGTTCAAGTCGTTGTTTTTGGCATTAGTTAAAGTGGGGGAGTCGTCACCTGCGCATGCGTCAGATGGCCATAGCGTGTCATTGTTTACAAACAAGCGCCTACCCATGAACCTTTGCGTTTTTAGCGTGTGTTGTTATAGTCACTTGGAACTTAATTCCCGCATGTGCGCAGGTGACGACCCTCTCGCATTAAGGTTATTCAAAGCAAAAAACAAACATTGATAAATCATACTTTTATAGATGGGAAGTTGTGAATGAAACCCATTCATTTTTGTCTTAAATTTGTATTTCACAGAGTGTGAATTAATAGAGACAGACGATTCTGTTGAAGTTAATGGACAGATATTCCACAAACCATTTGTTGAGAAACCTGTTTCCGCCGAAGATCATAATATTTACATTTACTATCCTATATCAGCAGGTGGAGGTAGTCAACGTTTATTTAGAAAAGTAAGTAACCATTTCATTTATTGTTGGCTGGATTATCCTATAAGTATCATGCTCCCCTAGATGACAATTGCTATGTTCACACGGCAGCATTCTATCAGAGCCGAACTACTTCTCCTCCCACGGATTAACAGGAGATTATCTCCAATGCGTTCATACGATCGGGAGCCGAACGAGAGCCGAGATCTGCCAGAGTTCGATTCAGTTCGATCAGAGTCGAACGGAACAGTGCCCTTGAATAATTAGTGACTGGAAACAATTTTAGTGTCGTGCTTGTGTTTTTTCTTTACATGGCATGATGTTGTTGAGCTAGGAGAAAAAAAAGCCTGAGCATGGAGGTAGAAAAGACAATGACTGGTGTTATGATTTAGGTACTAGTATCTCGAATAAACAGGAAACACGGCAGCTAAAATGCGTTTAATACAGCCTATTCGCTCAAGTTATTATCATGCAAAATTACCATTTTGTAACTATTCAACTGTAGTGATATCTAAACTACTAGGAAGAATCACAGATTCTCTCTATCTATCAAAGAGAAACTATGGAAGAATCTAAACCTACCAGGAACACATCACCGTACCGCGATCGCTTCTACGATTTTTATCTTTTGTTAAAAATTTTCCGTTCAGTCGTTCTTTCAAGTTTTTGTCGCATAATTTCGTACGCCATTTTTTGTTTCCCGTTGAGCTATCAATCTATCGCAATAATTCGTTACTATATATTAGGACGCGTACCTCTTATTCAAGCCGGAAATTGCGTGAAATTATGAAAGATGTTGTCTCCGCCATAATTGAAATGAGAGTTTACTCGAAGAAGACGATTGAGGGCGTGATATCGGCTCCTATAGTTGGGCCCGATGCGTTTACACGATCGGAGCCATGTCAGGACTCAACCCTATCGGAGTTCAACCCCGAGGGTTTAGTGGAGCCGAACTTGGCTCGAGCAGAACGCGTTCACACGATCATTTTTGCTGGCTCGAGCCGTTGGGCTCCGATAAAATGCTGTCGTGTGAACGTAGCAAATGTAAAAACTTGAAAAGCACACAAGCATCTCAAATTGAATTGAAAATTAAAGTGTAAAGAAGTTGAAGATTCTTAAACCCACCCAGGCAGTAGAAAAATAATACAGTTATTGCCCCTATGTGAGGCTGATATCATGAATTACTGTGAAATACTTTATTTTAGCTGGAATTAATTTTCGCTGAAAATACTTTTTTGGTGTTTTGTATGGAATTTATTTTCACTGATTTTTGATGAGTTGAATGTAATATATAGGAAAAAAAGTATATTTGCTGGATTTTATTTTCACTAAATCATTCTTATAGCGAAAATTAGTTCCAAGCGAAAATAAAGTATTTTAAAGTACATTGTATCATCCCCCAGATGGCTGTTATTGGCCACAGATCAGAGATTCACTGAATATGCATGATTTCTCAGACATGTAAACTGCCAATTAGACAGTACAACCATGTGAATATTATAGTAATTAAACAAACATGAGTATATCACAAAGCAGAGCTGAGTAACTTGCTATATCAGTCGTTTGTCTATTACTACTGTGAAACACTACCAATAATTCCTTTTACTGGGAAAATATGGGATGTTATTGCATTAATTTGAAATTTGTTTAATTTTCAGATTGGTAGTCGTAGTAGTGTATATTCACCAGAGAGTAAAGTAAGAAAGAAAGGTTCTTATATTTATGAAGAGTTTATGCCAACAGATGGCACAGATGTAAAGGTGAGATTAGATTTCTTATAAAAAATTGAAATTTTGTTTTGTTTTGTTTCCAGCCAATGCCCTATTACTATAGAAAATCCATCGTTGCATGAGTAACAACAGCACTTCAACAATGGGTTGATACAACCAAGGACAGAATAGTTTGTCATACACATACTCCAAGTATGCACGCCTTGTTTGTTGTGTCTGTGCTAACTGTGTTGCCTTTCGCAGTAATTCCTATGAAACATATGACATTAGCTCCAAACCAGCAACATACATGAAACAGATGCGATATTCTATTTTTTTTTTCACAGAAATTTATAAAACATTTTTTCTTCAAGAATCTTAAGAAGAAATTTCCATTGACTAGAGAAGCCCTAAAATTTAGTAAAGTCCATTACCCATGAGCCTCTGTGCCTTTCTCTCAATCACGACCGATTTACTTGAAAGAAAGATCCCGTAGAATTGATTTGAAATACTTTAAAATGTTCATTTGCAGATATATATTTTGAATACTACATGTACAAGTTTTATGTCACTACAGTTTGGCACAAAATGCTTGAATTGTAAAACTCATTATCAGATTAGCATGCAGGGAAATTGCTGTAGGGTGAAAAACAACGGTAATTGTTGTGGGATTCTATATGGACAGCATTTATGTGCTAAGGCATTGTAAATTATATCTATTTTACATGATAACACATTCATTGCTTTATGAAATGTAGTGCATGAAATAGTTCTCAAGTATATATTAATTGGACACAGGTTTACACAGTGGGTCCAGACTATGCCCATGCTGAAGCCAGGAAATCACCAGCATTAGATGGTAAAGTTGAAAGAGACAGTGAAGGAAAAGAAGTACGCTATCCAGTTATACTTACCAATCTAGAAAAGTTGATTGCAAGAAAAGTATCTCTTGCATTTAGTGTAAGTAAGCTTTAATTCTCGGGGGCAGTGCTATGCCACAGAAACTTCTATGTTGCTCAGACATGTTGCATGTATTTTTATAGGCTCTGTGCTAGCTGCATGAAACAAAAGTTGAGAAAACAGCACTTGAGGTAACCCTGAACAACAACATTTATATATACATGTATGTTGCACATGTAAGGGTAATCTTGTTTACACTGTTTGTGGGAAGTTCAGCAACTAGTTCAAAGTACAGTTTTCTGAAAGTTTTTGGCTGTTGTTTTCACTTGTAATGATATTGATTTTGATTGGGTGTGACTGATTTTGAAAAGATTTTGCGTCAAAGTTGTATAGACTTAGGAGCCATACTATATTAAAAAAATGTATTTAGTTTTGTTTTGTTAAATTCTTTGATTTGCCTGCATTCACATACTGTAAAATACTTTATTTTAGCTGGAATTAATTTTAGCTGAAAAGGCTTTTTGAATGTTTAGTATGGAATTTATTTTCACTGATTTTTGATGAGTTGAATGTGAAATATAGGAAAAAAGTTATATTTGCTAGATTTTATTATTACTGAATCATCCCTTCAGCGAAAATAGTGAAAATTAAGTTCATGCGAAAATAAAGTATTTTACAATATTAAATTAAGTACATATCTATGTACTTACAAACAGTATAATGATCTATCATCTTCATACATTGTAGTTTCATTAAATTATATTGTCATATTGTTGGTCCCTTTTTTCATATTCCACAACCAATGCTTCATCACAGTGAGGTTTTATATTGTCATTACTGTTTTGGGTGAAGATATTAATTAAATACTAGCAGCTTCTGAATTGGTATTTTTATTTAACTGCAGCAAACTGTTTGTGGTTTTGATTTACTGCGTGCCCATGGTAGATCATATGTCTGTGATGTCAATGGATTCAGTTTTGTAAAGAATTCTAGCAAGTATTATGATGACTGTGCTAAGATACTTGGGTAAGTTACATTATAGTTTGTAATGAGTCAACCATCCAAGACCTCTACATACATGTACCCTCGTTATGTAATGTTTTAGTGATCTGCTTGTTTATTCATGAATGTATCACTCCTACACACAGTTCCACTGTCATATGTTACATGTCAGATAACAAATGTCGCCAACTGATCAGCTCTAGCTAACACTCTGATGCGCCAACTTTGCCCATACGAAACATACGTGTATATTTAATAACAACAGTTTCGAACATTTTCACTATGACGAGTTCTTTCCAACTCGTCACTCTGCATGTACATGTGTACAAAATGTAAAAAAGTGAGACGGCCAATAAGAAGGTACATGTATTCGTATGTACTTAAAATATAAATTATGTCATTCATCATTAGTTTTATAAATACACTATTACCGGTACAACATTTTAAAATGGCAATGTTTATATCAGAGTAATACATTTGTAAAACATCCATTTTTTTCAACTGTATCAAGTATGGTGTGTCTTATTTGATTTATAATGCTGTGTGTGTTTAAAACACAGTCATGCATGGTTCTTATTCCTTGTGTTTATAGATACAGTGTTGATTCTGATTATTAGTTTGTCATAGTTTATAGTAACATTTGGTTAATTGACGGATCCCATGAAACAATGTTACCATGGGGGGGGGGGGGGGCAAACAAACTAAAATATGTGTGCTACTCAAATGAAACACACTGACTGAATCATTCCGCCAGAAGGAACATTATAGGGCTTGGTGACGTCACCTAGCACCTAGGTACAGTGTAATAGGTGAGATCTGCTAATGATGGCTGTTGTTTAGTAAAGTATTACTTTTTCTTCATTATGTACATGCATATATTGTTCTTTCAAAGTTTTTTTTTTTTTTTTATCTTTTTTTTGGGAAATTCTATAATGCTATAGGAATGTTATAATGCGAGAGTTAGCCCAAAGCTATGATATTCCATGGAATATTCCCATCGAAGAAGAGGAAGCTTCATATGTGCCGACAACATCTGGAACTATGTAAGTATCCTATTTTTTTTTATCTTGGGTTCACTTTACTTGTGCATGAAGTGATTTGCTACATGTATATACTGTAAACAATTGTAACCCCCCAAAAATATTTGCTGTTTCATAATTGGAGAGCCTTTCATGAATTGAAGTCACTGTGATGAAAGAACTCAGTGTGATTTTTACTGCTTCAATATTTGGTAATTGTCTTGCATAAATAAATTGGCTTACAGTAGTTTGCATGTGATATTTCAGGGCATGCATACACTGCATCTGTGTCTTTTGTGGTTCATCCTTATGCACTAACCTTGATAAACTTCAATATTTTGTTATCTACAGTATCACATTATTTTACACCATAATACATCACAGTAAATCTTTCTTCCCAAGCCTCTTAAGGTATAAGGTTCTCAATAGATGAGTTTTGAGCTCTTTGGTTGCTATGTTATGTTCGGTTGCTATGCTATGTACATGCTGATGTTGATTCTGTGATAGAAAGAGGGTTTGATTTTATAATCAGTGGTGTGATCACTGCAGTTTAATAGATTTTGTTGGATGTTCCCTTCACTGACTACACAAATTATATTTTATCTTGCTTTATCAAGTGTCTGAAAAATATTATTTTATTATTATCATTTATCTAGGGTTAGCTGTTTTCTCTTACTCACTGGTTGGGTTTACTCAAAAAGATTCTAGGTGGAGTGGGTGTGGTGTCACATTCCTTGAACCGTTGACAGAAGTAATTTTTCACTAGGAGGGACATCATGGCTAATTTATCTGGCAATGAGATCTCTCCCTGGTGTTTGTCTTTCTGTGCTACCGTCTTTTCACACATGAGTATACACAAGGGATACATATCAAGTGAAGATTGTTGGTTTGGCTAGACACATGCACATTTCTCCAAATCCATCTTATCTTTGCTTAAAGCCAAAGACCCATTGGATTTATTTTTTTAATGTAATAAAAAAAATATTTGCCTGACCTGTCATTCCTAACTAAAAATCAGTTACCTTAATGGTCAAACAATAAAGTCTTCTATGCTCTTTCTTTCTGTTTCAAGAGAAACTGATATCACTGCTAATTCAAATTTGGGGGAAATTTAGGGTTGGTTCTGGGTTTTCTTGAGTAAACACAGCCCTAGATAGATGGATCTACATTAAATGACTCAAATCTCAGATTTTGTGTATTTGATGTGGATGCCTGCAATATATTCACATATTTGGTACAGAACTGGAGGTGGTGAAAAAAATGTGTTAAACTGCAGGTTCTTTATAATCATAAGCGTACATTTGTGGAAACACCCTTTTCTTGCGAAATCAACACAAAATCACACTCAAGGTATCTTAGCAGCTACAGATCCTGAAACCTAAACAAAACATGTCTTTATATGTACTGCCAATATAGTTTATTTTTTATTGGTTCATGAATAGTCTTGTATGATAGTTGACTGCCATGAGAATTGATCATCAGTAACCATGGAGTTTAGTTTTTTTACAAAATAAGAAATACTTATTTTGACACTTGTTTGGGTGTGTCTATGTCTCAGCTTAAAAAAACACTGGCCATCACCACACAAAACAGAAGTACACAAGCGAAGGGTGTTCATCTTGTAAGCTGATACGTTTGGACTTTTTGTTACCAATATCACTCTCACTTTCACTTTTCAACATTTTCAAGTGATATTAAGGCACCACTATGATGACTCCTACCTCAGGAAAAAGGCTTGTTATACCTTTTAAACTGACATTGCACCCTAATGAAAAATTTTTTTTTGGCGTGCTTAGTCACGAAAGTTTTTCATTTTGCTCAAAAGTTGTCATGAAATACCAGAAAGGAAGCTTGATGTCATTATTGTCATATGACTGATGTTGCATATTTCCATAATGCGCACAAAAAGTGCAACTGTATGTTGTTCACCACTAGTCTCCGTTTTAACCAATTCTGTCATTTATACTGTCTGATTAAAATTGACCGGCTGCTTTTATTGTCCATCGCTGCTGTATATCACTACTACATCCTACTAAGTGACCATAAAATTTGCGTTTCGGCAAACACTCCTCTGGAAACGGTGCATCTTACAAGATAGTGCTCAGTTACTTGAGTTCTGATTAGTTGAACCTACAAAGATTTGAACTGTATAATAGATAAATAGTCAAATTATTGTAAATCACTTTAATTTCCTGAGGGACAACATTTTGTGAGCCAGTTTGATTTTATAGTAGTGGCGTCCTACGACATAAAGTGCTACTATTACATTTCTCTCACAAATAAATGCCAGCTCATCAACTCATGAGTGAAAATTTATAGTAGTTACAGGTGTGTACACAGCAGCCATGTATGTTCATTAAAAACAACCAGTGTCACTACACCTACATCTAAATATAATTGTCATTTTGTCAACAAACAAATGTACTATAAGTATACCTTGAAAACAAGATTACACTCAACTATTAGCATAATATTTTGACCTGATTGTTTTCTACTATCAAGGAAGACTTTTTAGTATGTTGGTCGTTGACTGTACCATATACATAATTTGTATGTACCTGTATATTTTTGTCACATCTGACAACAGGTTATGTATATGTCATAGGGTAGTAACAAGGTTAAAATTGGTCTATGATTTTCTGCTACTGTAGAAAACCTATTCATCATCTGAAAGCCTAGATATAGGTGAATACGAGATGCATATGTTGTACCAATGTTTGTCCTAAGGAATATGCATTTTTGTTATTGTTTTTTTTTTTTTTTTTACTGTTCTGACTATTGAAAACACTGTGAAACTTCCAGTCACTCAAATGACCTATGAATTGCACAGGATGCCAGTAACACTCTAGGCTAGACAATCATGTCTCGGTTTTTCTGCTCACAAAAAAAAGCACTCTCCATACTGAATATTGAGCCGGAATCTCTGCAGGGCATCAATTCACCTTTAGATTTCTTTGACCTATGAAATTGGCCATCAGGTAATGCCTTTATAGAACATAGGGACACATATGCACTACCGTATTTACCTACCGGTATATCTAAACTTTCAGATGATATATAGTTTGTTATAGTAGCATGTTTAGTAACTTTTAAAGAATGTCTAAATCACAGATCATTTTTTACTTTGTTTTAGCACTGTGGAGGCATTTGTTAAACCATACTAACATACACACATGTCATCATACGCATCTCTGGACGCTATCATCTCAAGTATAATGGCCAGACATGTGGTCACAATAAATTAGATTTATGAGTGAAAATTAGCATTACAAAGTAATGAATGTTACCATAAGCTTATTCAGTCAGATTTTGATTTCCATATATCAGTTTGAGATGTAGCAATGCAAGTCAAAAATGTTTGCGATTCAGGAAACAAAATATTCATTTAAGAAAATTTTACCATATACCTAAATGAACCAGGCTATTGCTGAATGGTTGTACCCAAAACATCTTGCTATTTTTACTATTCTTAGTCTTGTCTTTAATTTTGTAAATTCCCAATAATGAAAAATTCTGCTGTCTATGTCCATAGATGCCATAAAGATCTGTTTTTTTTTAGCATAAAAGACTTGACAATTTCCTTATCTCAACTACCTGCACGAGATATGCTATATACCATACAACATGGTATATCAAACTGTTTTGAATTTTGAGCCCCAACATTCTGTTTCGAGTAGTCTGCTTCCCATTTGGGTCTCTTCTCAACTTATAGATGGAAGTAACAGCAGGTTTTTTCACTGAAAGTTTCAATTGCTGCAAGATTGATTGGTTTATTCTAGTTTTAGTTTAATGTACACAGTATCATGACTTGTTTTACATGGCAGCACAGATCTGTATCAAACTATAGTGTTTTTTTTAGCCCTGTCTCTGTTGTTAAGTAATGTCTTACTCATCTGCTTGGGTTTTTTCAAAGATATTTTGCATTGGGTGTTATCTCATTCCTGTTAATCCATCACATATTGTTTACTTTAGTAAATTCTATGCTAAATGCAATGTGCATGTGAGAGTAGCCCCATGCATTCAGTGCATGTAAATAAGGGCAGACACCACCCCAACATCCACTTGGAGGAATCAGGCCGCTAATACTGGGACACAGCTCTGAAGCACTGCTGCAAAAAGTATGCACAAAATAAACACAGCTTTCCTGTCGCATGCTCTTCACTCTCTAGACTGATATGAAAAAGTCTGTATATGGGATTCCGCTAACCCTTAGCCTGTTGCCAATAGCAACTTACATTTAGATTTATCACTTGCCCTACCTAAAACTAATTTCAAACCATGAAATTGTCATCACTGTGTGGTTTTAACATAACAAACAAAAACATATATAAAGTTACATCTAAACTAAAAAAAATCTTGATTTGCTTATAAGGCTATTCTTCCCTGTTTGCAAAGCAAATATAAACAAGTTGGTTATTTGAAAACCAATGTATAGTTAATAGCCACTATGGCCTAAAACTATCCTTGATAACGGAATCCTATTCTGTGCAGCTCAATATGCACTGTAGGTGTAATGCTTTCCTGGTTCTCCTTTCCCCTGCCATGCAGAGATGCATATATGCATTATTTGTATATTTTATACACATACCGTACATGTAATCAAAGAGTGAAACCCAATACTGATAGAAAATGAATGTTTTGTCTTTACTCTGGTGTATATATGTTTGCATGGTTTGGGGAACTGTGTTATTATTAAATGTTATCGTTGATGTCTGTTTTACTCTATGGATTGCCAGTTTTCTAAAGTACCGTATTTGCTCTATTAGAAGTGCATCTCAAATAGAAGCATACAAAATTGCATATATCATATGCTAGATCATTAAAATATATATCAGTTATCAAGTTATAGCAGCAAAGTACTCAAGCCAATGTGTGGACCCAGCCTTATAAACTGCATCGTTCAGCTGTATGGTAATTTAACCTTGTTAAGAATCAAGTTAGAGTCACTTTGAGTCATGCTGATGTATTCATGGATCCTTGGGTTGATCAGAGATATCATTCAAGTATTTGTCCAGTTTGCATTT